AACTCCCCATTCTCTCCATGAACATAATATTGAATCCTAAACAACTTATAAATTAATCATGAAAAATTATTATATCATAAACTGTTATAATAATAAAGAAATTCTGTCATGTCACAGAGTATAAAGGAGAAGACTGGTGCTGCCATCTATTTGGCGTGGTACCCTCAGTGTGGGCGCCGGTATATATTATATACCGGTTTTAAAATCGTATAAATAATCTTCTGTTAATTATCATTTCTGACAAAAATGAAGTAAATATATAAGATTCAGCATGTGTACATCATATATTTGCAGATTTTGAATTTTTTCTTTCCCTCCAATAGAATTTATCAATCTTCCAACATGATACCTTGCAAAGAGGTATATTAATTTCATAACTGCAAAATATTGAGCATTCATAGGGTGATGCTACCATTTAGAATTGAAAGGAAACACTAGACACTTAAGATTATAGCTTTTGGTGTAGAAAAATGAGCATTTTTTTGGAGGTTAAAAAATTGACAAACAACCGGTATATATTATATACCGGTGCCCTTCAAAGGGTTAAATCAAACCTTTACTCTGAATAAATAGGCAATAATGTTATGAAAATCAAACCAGTATGAGTAAAAAGTAGTAATAAAGAATAAAGATTACTACATTAGAAAGCAACAGTGTAATTTCAGTGCAAACATTTCATATAAGAAATATCATAAAGGTGCAAAATCTTAAAAAGCCTATTATTGAACATCTATTAACACAAAACTGAGTTTGTGACTTGTAACTTTCTTTTGAGCTGGTACTAAACTACTAAAGAGTTTTCACCAGTAGATCTAAAATACGTGCTAAAGGCCATTCGAAAAATAAAAAGAATGTTAAAATTCAATAAATACCATACCCATAAGCGAAAAAAATAGAAAGTGTTTTTAAGTCATGCAGTTCGAATTTAGTGATGAAGAAATGAAATTAAAAAATCCTTGCAGGCGCAGAAAGTCCAAAATTACTCTAGGAAATTGAACCCATGATCTCGGGAGAAAAACCGGCTTTGCTCTTTACCATTAGGCTACGATCGCTCATGCTGAAGTTGTCGGAAAAGCTATGTATTTCGTCACATGATTAACTCCCATTTTCGGTGAAGTCAATGACTCTGCACTGCTTTAAATCCGGCCCGTAATATTTCATCTGGAGATTTTGCTTTCTGAATTTTTTCAATAAATTTGATCATAGTTCCAAGTAGTTTCTGAATATTTTCATCTAGTATCCATGACATGGCATCATTAATAGTTTTTGGAAACTTTTCCTGGAGGAATTAAAATAATTTTCACCCCGAATAGAAAATATTTGAATATATAAAGTAATGGGAAAGACAAAACTTAGCAAAATAAGAGAATCCCTTAATTTTTTATTTTTTAAATTTACATTACTCATGTCCCACAACACAACATTTTCTCTATAAAAATCTAGCAGTTGAAAAATTTGAGTTTTGCTTCAATAAAATACAGCCAATATTATTATGCCAAAATGAGGGACAAAGCATGTGATCACTCAAATCAATCCTACTGGCTAGACTCTGATTTTATCGTATGCTAGTGAGCAATGAGCACCAGTTCTTAAATCGTAGCAGAGAACATGACTGATTTTTGGCGCATGTGCAGATCCTTAAAATTGCTGCTTTACCAGAAAGTCGACCAAGAAAATTGCTAGGCGTAGACGGGCCTTATGAATAAATATGAAATGCTATATGGTCAGGGCTGGTTGCAAAATCAGTGTGGGAGGATTTTTAGAATTTAGCAATGCACCAAGCAACAAAATCTAGAAATGACAAAACTTTTAGAATTTAGGACATGCCACTACAATCTCTGTGGATCATGGATTTTGTTGCCTAGTAAAATTTAAGAAGGCACTAGGCAACAGAATTCAGGATCCACAGAGATTGAATCAGATGAGAAAATGTTTAACGTCAATCCTGCGAATTGTGCTTTGACACATATAAGATGAATCTTTTAAATTATTAGTTTTCAATTTCTTTACTAAAAAAAAATTCCTTTCTATAGATACCTGTCCAAGTGACAAGATTAGAAGCATTTCTGAGGGAAAATAATCATGTTAAGAAAAAGACTTCTGGGATCAGAAGCAAAACATTCATATATTATGTTTTCCTAGTTCTTCCAAAAGTTCTCCAAAAAACAAGAAATTTATCCCAATTTTTCAGCAAAATCCATCCATTAAGAGCTAATACCATGAAGACATTTTTCTGTAATCTTCTAGAATCATAGGTCTATAAATTTTGCTTTCAAATCCTTCTAAACTTTCCAAGGTGCAATGTCTAAAACCCGAAAGAAAAATTACCACTAGTCACAGCAAAAAGACAGAAGTATTTTGGGGAACAAAATTTAATGAATTTTACAGAGAAAATTGATGCACACCCTGAAAATTTTGAGACAATTACATACAGAAAAACTCTTACCATGATAAAATAAAAAAAGAAGACACTTTAAAATAATTACATAGCTATTTTGCTTGCAAAACTGTTTTGTAAATTTTGCTTTATAGCATTTATTACCTCACTTATTTTTCAGTTCAAAATATTACAGTAATAAGTCACCAAAATGGAAAGTAAATTTATAATATGACAGGAAAAAAAGTAAAATATTTTATTTTAATATTATTTCTTAAATATAATTTCAATATGTTACCATTATTTTGGTAAAATTTATTAACGTTAAAATATTCTAAAAAAATAGTCGAAAAATTTACAGATCTCCAAATTGAGAATTTTGTAGAGAAATTTATCTTAAATTATCCAAATGTTGATAAGTTGCCAAATTTAAAACCATTTAATGAATGAATTCCCATCCCCAAAAGGGAAAAGTTGTAAAAGATCTGTTGACTAGAAAAGAAAGAAAAATTTTGAAATGCTTAATTTTCACTCAGATATTACACTGTTTATATTAGAAATAGGAATAAATTCAAATGATAACCATAATTGTCAGTGAACCACAAAAAATATTCTTCCATAATGTTAATTCACACTTAAAATGACAGTAGTAAAAATGGACCGAAATTTCAGTTGCTTAAAATTAAGGACCAAAAATGAATTCCAAAAAACCTAAGGACTTTTAAAGAATCTTAAGGATCGTATAAACCCTGCTAAAGTGCCTACAACAGCATGGAAATTACAAACACATTTGAAAAATAAAACTAATTTTACTCAATTTCATTTTGAATAGCAATAAATGTTTAATATAATTAGATTTTTTACATGGATCATTTGTTTCTCTTCTCCACGCAAATTCAGCCAGGCTAGATTCCATGAAACAACATGGTATTTCTTGATGTACCATTTTATGTTGGCATTTAAATACAGTAAAATTCCAGAAATGCGCAAAGCTTGGGACCAGAGGTTGTGCGGATTTCAGGACAGAAAAGATAAAGCATAATATTTGGACTAAAAGTGCAAAATGAATAAGGCGTATTAGATACATTTAATTAAATTATTATATACATTATTGCAATAATTTATTATATGCATTAAATTATTATTACATACATAAATTGATTATATTATTCATTGTATTATACGTACACAGCATCGAGGTTTGACGATTTCGCCTCGTACAAAGATTTCCGGTTTTGGATTCCGTTGTTAGAATCACTGTTGCTGTAAACAGCTTTCTTTATTTTTCCGTATATCATACACAATCGTGTAGCAATTCCATACCATTCTGCTATAAATCGAGGAGTAGCACCTGCTTCCATCTTTTGCAGAATTTGCACTTTTTGTGTTACCGTCAATGCAACGTGTTTACGTTTTTCAATGTTGCAAGCAGTAAAATCATGAGAGCGTTTCTTATCTGTCATTGTATTAAAAAGGGTTGAAATTAAAAATATTCTTAATTTATCCACAAAATATCCAGATAAAAAAAAAAAAAAAGGCAGCACCAAACAATCTTGTGAAATGAAATAACAAAGCTCAGAAAATACAACGTGAATCGTGAACTTGAAAAAAGAGTTGAGTGAATCATCTGCTTTTTTACCTCAATGCAGATTAGAGGGAAAAAACTTATTTATTTTATCTTATTTTTTTAACTTTTTTATATCAATAATTTGGTATTTCCGTTTTAACTCATTATTATTCTGTAATTATGATGTCATTATTCGGTAAGTATTTTTTCTTCGATATTTCGTACTCAATGTTGCGGTTTCCTGAACCTATAAACTGAATGTTTAATTCCAAGAGGCAACGTGGATTTCAGGTTGGCAGATTTTCGATATTTGACTGTACTCTTTTTTTTTCTATGCTAGGTACAAAAACTATACTGTCATTGAATGCTGCTATTTCCAGAAATTCAATTTTATGTTATGATTTTTGATAACAAACTGCATCAGTGAGCAAAATACTTAAAAAAAAAAAAAAAAAAAAAAAAAAAATACAGCTTGTTCCATGAGACGATGAGAAAGTCCCAATTTTTCATCATAATTAAAGTCTACATGAGTAAGTTGTTAAAAACTCATAATGAAGAGAAATGGTAGCAATGTCAGTGAAAGCAACTGAAGCAATATTTTATTTGGCAAATAAAGATAAGAAATCAAATTATTCTTTGCAACAATTTTAGTTAAAAAATAATTAATCTTTTCATAATATAAAAGGATATGCAAATGTTTTATTAAAATATGCAAAATCTTTAGTTTATATAAAAGAGCTTTTCAGATAAAAAAACAAATAAATGAAAGAACTTTTAGATCTGAATTTTGCAATATACATTTTCCAAGCAAACAGCTCTTTAAATTACCAATATGAAATAAGTTCATTAAATTATACTCTTCCTCCCTCCCTTGAATTCAATATAAAAGTGTATCAATGGTTCTGTAGGGAATAAAAAATTAGTTAAAAACACATTAGGTTTCAGCAGTTCTATACAGTATTTCATTTGTGCTGTGGTTCCAGATATTTCATTTGTGCAAGGAGAGAGGGCATTAAAAAATGAAACTTCATCTTTGTAATAATGAGTTATAATTACTTGAATTCTGCAATCAGTTCTTCATCTGCAAAAGCTTGCTGTATACTCACTGCCCCATCAGGAACATCATCAAGATCTTCATCTCCAAAAGTTATATCATCAGGAACCATAGAATCTAAGCAATGAGCTTCTGAACTAAATTCCTTTTCATCTTCAACTGTAGTCTTTTTAGGCTCAGAAGTCTTTTTCAATTTTTGAAGAACCTTTAAGAGAAGATATTTCAATTAATATTAAATGTGACTTAATAGTATTGCCTTTTACAATTCAGAACTAAAAACTAAACAAATCATATTAACATATTCGCTGCCAAAATGATATAGTACATCCATTCACACATGCGAAGATTTTATTTGTTTTTTTTATGAGGTTAAATTATTTTCTGTTATTTTATTATTTAAATATAAATATAACAGATTACTTATAGCAGTAAATAAATTCACATGGCTATACTCATAGTTGGCATATGAAATTTTATTTTTGCTCCTTGTGCCAATTATGAGGTTAGATAAACAATACTCACACATTCTGAGTGTTAGTGATTCTCATGCAAAACTTCTGAATACGCAATACATTATTTTTCATTAGTCTTACACAAGTCACTAAAAAAATTTGAGCAGTCTATTTATAGCATTTGAAAAGTTAGTAAACCAAAAGAAAAGTTTTGCACCTAATTTAGTTATCGTATCTATATTTCGAGAAATAAATTATCCACATCAAAACACCAAATTTTTTGTATTATTTAATCCCTTCCTCTACACCAAACAACTTGCATGCATTTGTTATGGCAATACTTGTACTTGCTGGTATAAGTAAGGCGACAAATAGCGAATTATCTTGTATCTAGCAAACATACTCAATTTGCCAATTACAAATATTTTTATAGATGACAGAGAACATGTTAAATTGAACCTTTAAAGTTTCAAATTTCAAAATTTTTACATAAAAATTATTTCCTAAATGAATATCAAAAACGAGAATATTCATGTGAGTTTTTTCCTCCTAAACATAGATTTTCAAAATGTAGAAAAAAGTGACATATTTAACAGATAAATATATAGTAACCCCATTGAGAATTTGTATTATGATAAATAAAGTCATTGAAATTTTTCCTGTCCAAAAATTCAGTTAAGAATTTTTACTTTTATAATGGCTCATCTCAATCACATAAATTTCCATAAATGTCATTCTAGCAAATGAGTTACTTGTAAAGTTAGCACTATGGCTTTTAATATCACAGCCACAAAACAACTCCCCTTTTCAAAAACATTTAATTGCATATACAGTCAAAAGTCGTTAATTCGGACACCCATAATCCGGACCTCAAAGCTACAAACTTTCTGCGCATGCGTCGCTCTGACTTTTAAGACTTCGTAAGACTTTTACAGCTGTGAATATGCATGTGCGTAATACGTTTGTGCTTGCGCATTTAATGTATAACGGATGGTATAAGCTAAGCTAAGCTAAAATTATCTAATTCAGTTAATGTTGCAGATTGCGTTGTTCCTGAATCTTCGAATTAGATCCGGCTTATCATTTTTTGCAGACTGTTAGAGCAATTTTATAAAAGTAAGCTTGAACTTTCGATTATGTCAAATAGAATTTCTGATATGTATTTACTAATATGTAAAGGATCTACAAAGCGAAAGTATGTTTAGAAATCCATTAAACAAAAAGTAGAATTGCTGCAAAAAATGGATAAAGGCATATCCTTCATTTCTCAAACCATTCCGAAATCTGTATATCAATTTCACGCTGCTCTGCGGCCCGGGGGGGGGGGGGAGGCCGAAACGCCACGGCACGCAATGAATTGGAAGTTAATCTGTCAGCACTATCCTTACCTTCAGAGCAGATGTTTTTATTTTATTTCACTTATAATTACTTACTAAATGTAGTATTTCATCTCGATGTACTCCGTCTTTGATATGATTTAAATCAAATTCCTCGTCATTATAATTCACTTCCAATAAAGAAGAAAGTGATACAGAGGTTATTGAAAACGAAAAAATTTCGATTGATAAATTAGTCGGTATTCTCGACACAGCAATTATAGGACTTTAACAGCGGAACTTTGTAACTAAACAAGAATTTATGTCTGTTTATAGAATTAAACAGAATGTATTATCCAGGGTTTATAGCCATATTTTAGTTAAAAAAATAAGCACCTACAAGCACTTTTCAAGCACATTTTAAGAAAAAAAAAAAAGAAAAAAAAAAAAGCACCTGTCTAATTACATCATACACAACTGCATAACCTTAAAAATTAGACTTGTAATTTAAAATATGAGAAATGAAGTACTTATTAAGAGACAACAAGCATTACCTCAACCATAAAAAATAATTACTTTTTTTGTTTTTAGTTTTAAATAATAGTTCAATTTACAGAACTTGTTTACAATGAGAGAATAAAAAAACTATGAAGAACTAAACTATATTACAAGATTTAATGATGAAATTTCAGTTCAAAATAGAGAAAATAAATAATAATAAGGTATATTTATTGTATTCGCTTGGAACCTAATAATAAATACAATTTATTTTTCACTCATATTGATATTTAAATAATTTAAATCTAAATTCTGAACATTTTCTAAATTTCCATTGTATATCAGTTTTCTTTTAACAGATATTGCAAGCAAAGTAATTTAAGTAAAAAAGAGGAACATTTCTGAAATCAGAAAACAGAAATTTGCTTCATGCAGTCATCTTTAACAGTAAAAGGTTAACTAACCCACACACATGGAAATTGGCGAATATTCGGACAGTCGAGCGTAACTTGAAGGAGCGGGAGGGGGGGGGGTAGACTGTAGCCGCTCTTTAGATTTTTCCGCTAAATAAATGCTTTTGACATTTCAATATGTGCATCATATAAAACAAAAGTAAAAAATATTCTGCTTAGCAAGCACAGTAAAACTCTTTTAAGTGTTCATAAACAAATCTCGGACTGAACATCAAAATTAATTATCGCTGAAAAATATCGCAAACGTTATTGCGCAATATGTGCGCCGTAGTTCTTCCCTACGTGATATTACGCAATCGGAATCAACAACTGTCGGTATTGGGAGAATAAAGAACTAAATAACTGGGGTGTTTTTCATTCTAATTTTCAAAAGATGGCGTTAAATTTCTGGAATAGAATCATTCTTTGCTTGGGTTGGTAGACCGCAGAACTTTTAGTCCTATTCAATCCAAAGTGACACACACACACACACACACACACAAAAAAAAAAAAAAGGTCCATTGCTTGTTTTGCATTTTGCAGCGAACTGTAACGGTTTCAATATTCAAGATTTTGCGGAGAAAGGCGAGACCTCCCAACCTTCGTACTGTATAATATATTGGCCAAAAAAATGAAATTATTTTGACTATTCGATTACTTTCCCTTTATTTAAGCCATTCCGAATATTATTCCTTAGAAAGCTAATTCTGTGTTAAAACAGAACCATTTTTGTAAGTTTACTATACTTCAGCAGTTACTGCAACTATGTTATTATAAACATTCATACATATGCTCATAATATAAGCATAACGATCATAATAAACACGAATATGAACTGACCAAGCGGAACGAGAATGCAAATTTTTAAGATCTTGATAGAAATTCAAACGTGTATAGTATTTGGGTGGGAGGAAAAGAATGCCGAATGTAGCGGAATTTTCACTGCTTTTGCAATTCTTTGACCAATAGAAGGAGGGGCACCTGTCTGTACTCTTCGTACACACCAAAGGTTATGTTAATGCAGAGAAAGGGGAAAAAGCTATTTCCGGGAGTATGACTCACCATCTGACATTCCATATTAGTAAGAAAAGTTGTTTATTTAGTTTCGGCTTTAGTACGGGGAAAAATAGTGCATTCATTAAAAAAAAAGCACTAAAAGCAAAAAATAAGCACTAAAAACAAAAAAATAAGGGCTTTAAAGAAAACGTAAGCACCTATAAGGGCCTTTATATTTTATTTTCAAATATAAGGAATTATAAGCACTTATAAGGACCGCTACGAACCCTGTTATCACATAAAAAAAAACGAAGCAACTTAAACAACTTACATTGAAAGAAATGTTTAATAAAGTAAACAAATAAATATTAAGCTTTTTCTTTTTGTAAATTTTGATACCCTTTAGATCATAATTGTTCTTTATTTCATAAATTACAGTTTCATATTTTTAATTTTATAATTTCTGCATGCCATCTTACCAGATTTAAACTGATGATCTATAATCCGGAAAAATCGATAATCCGGAATTGCCAAAGTCCCGATGAGTCCTGATTAACGACTTTTGACTGTACCTTATCTCATGTAACATTTGCAACCTTAAATATATAGGACAGACCAAAAATAATCTTAATATTAGAATTAACAACCACAGAGCACATATTAAAAATTCGCTACTACCAATTTACACTTGTTAATTAGAAGCAGAATTAAAACCTTTTAAAATACATGATTTCAGGAAAATTAGTATTCAAATTTTGGACATTGTGCCTGAATACAAGGATAGATTATTTCAAGAGTCACTCTACGTGCTTAAATTAAAAAAAAATTACCTATATGGGCTAAATACATTCAACCAACACATTAAATTAAATTCTGAAATTCCAACTTACAGCTATTTTAAATTATTTAGTAAAAAAACATTATGAGGGACAAGAACAGGTAATAAACAGAAAAATAAATTATTTTCTACAATAGATACAGTAAAGTTAAACATTAAGATTAATAGTTACTTTCTAACTGAAAATTTCACCAAAAATATCATTACTTGTAAACACAAATTCTTAATGAAACTTGTAAATTTTGTTCAACAGCAATTTACGGGACCCAATATTATTAAAGACCTTGCTATAGATTTTTGCAATTTTAATTTCTCTACCTCTCTCTAACAAGTACAATAACCATTACTGCACAATCAACTTCCTACATCCGAACTATGACAATATTCAGTTCTATAAAATTTTCAGAAACATGTCAACAACAATTTTGAGCTACTAAAGTACAAATCTCACCAGCTTTCAAGTATCAAAAACTTCTTAGCAAATTGCTAATTAACCACCATGATCTAGCTTCTACAGGTCATTGATACTGCAAAGAACTTCAACATAAAGACTACGTAGACGATTTTCATAAACATATTGTTACTCGCAATTTAACACAATAGTTAAAAACCAGCTTTTAAGAAATTTAATGAGAAAAGGCACAAAATTTCAA